TCTTCTCTAGGCTAAGTCTGTTCTTCGTTAAGCTTAGATTGCCATATATTTTACTGTTTCTATCTAGTGCCCTGTGTCCCACCTCAAAGCATCATGACCACAAAGCCACCCCCCTGACTTTAAAAAAAAAAAGATTTATTTTATGTGTATGAGTAGTAAGCTGTTGCTGTCTTTAGACACACCAGAAGAGGGCATCAGATCCCATTACAGATGGTTGTGAGCCACCACGTGGTTGCTGGGAATTAAACTCAGGACCTCTGGTAGAGCAGTCAGTGGTCTTAACCGCTGAGCCATCTCTCCAGCCCTCCATGAGGCCCTTTTATTAATAAAGTTCACTCCGAAGGGAACTTATGTATCAGCTTTCCTTTGAGGACCACGCTGTTGCTGCTACTTTACTTGTTTTCAACACTGGTTCTTAAAAGAGTATGTGTATGACTCTTAGCAATTGTAATTTCCGCAATCCCCATCACACTATAGGGGGAAAAAGCACGTTGGAGTAAAGCTGACAAAAGAGTCAGATATGGTGGCCCACGCCTATAATCCCAGCTTCTGGGAGTCTGGGGCATGAATTTAGAGATAGTCTGGGCAGTAGCTAGGAGATAAGGACTCTCCAGGTACATTGTTCATCCTCCCCTCAAGCCCAGAACCTGGACTATGCATAGAAAGCAAACGGTTGCTGATAACGTCCTTGTGGTCTTGGGGAGAAAGCAGCCCTCAGGTGCAAGTGACCTTTGGTCACATGTGGCCTCCGATCTGAGGATCAAGTCCACAGAGGACTTGGTCCAAGAAGAGATATTGAAAAATGACAGCACCAAGGTTGAATCTACAAGAGCTGATATCTAGCCTGGGCAATGAAAAGTTCAGGCAAGTTGCCCTTCCACAATTATCTGTGAAACACTTTGTTCACTGGCTCATTTGATAGATATTCAATAAGCAGCCTCTTCATGCCAGACACTGCTGACTTCAGGAGAAACAATAACAAACAGCTTGCAATTCAGGGAGAGAAGCAGGCTTTGGGCAGATTCATACAAGCACGTATAAAATTACGACAGCCATGTTCGTAGTTGAGATATGCTACTCTAAGGATCTTGAACTTTTTAAGTCTCAGGGAAGAGACACTAAAGGTCTTAGAGCGCAGAAGTGAAGAGGTCATAAAATAATTGTTAGGGGGACTACAGAGAGGGTCTCACAGCTAAGAGCACTGGTCCCTCTCCCAGAGGACCTGAATTCAATTCCTAGCACCAACATTATAACTGTCTGTAACCTCACTCCATGGGGATCTTATGCCCTCTTCTGGCCTTCATAGGCACCAGACAGAGACACAGGCAAAACAACATTCCTATAAAATAAGTTTATTCTTTTTTTTTTTTTTTTTTTTTTTGGTTTTTTGAGACAGGGTTTCTCTGTATAGCCCTGGCTGTCCTGGAACTCATTCTGTAGACCAGGCTGGCCTTGAACTCAGAAATCCACCTGCCTCTGCCTCCCAAGTGCTGGGATTAAAGGAATGTACCACTATGGCCTGACCCTTGTTCTATCTTTGAGCTCCTAGAGGGTAGAAAATTGATTTAGCTCACCTGGGATCCCCAGGCACATAAATGTTTGCTCAATCAAAAGTTGAGAAAATCCTGCCTCCTCATGTTCTACCAACAGTGTAGGCCGTCTCCACCTGGCTCTGTCTTCTTTGGCTACTTCTCTGATACTCTGGACATTCTCATTCTTTCTCTGAAGGTCTTGCTCCCATCCAGCTGCTCGCCATCTTTTATTGCTGACTCTTTCTTAAAGCCTAACTCAAAAGGCATGAGTACTTCCCTTCCCCTTATGCATCTCCCTCCTCCCTAAAGCTACTAAGATGTTTTAACTTGTTTGCCTTATTCCAATTTTTCTCTCAAATTATAATAAAATGGTCCTTGCAGGGAAAAAATACAAAAGAACAAATCTCTTTTTATTGGGGGTACTGTAAGCTGACTTCAAACTCAAGGGCCTCCAGCTGGAAGTGTTGCCAGTATAGGTATGCACCAACACGCCTCACCAAAAATAACTAGGCAATGGTTAAATTTAGGAGGCTCAGCTGATATCAAGATATGTCTATATCCTCTCTAAGTAGGGGTTTCTAAGACAGCTTATCCTTAATGAACCCACAGTGTGAAAGGCTACAGGGCAAACAGTGGTAGTACAGGTTTGTAATCCCAGCTACCCAAGAAGATGAGAGCAAGGACTGGAGAGATGGGTCAGTGGTTAAGAACACTGACTGCTCTTTCAGAGGTCCTGAGTTCAATTCCTAGCTACCACAGTGACTCACAACTATCTGTAATGGGATCTGATGCCCTCTTCTGGTGTGTCTGAAATCTTTAAAAAAAGAACACTTGATGATCATTCAGAGGATCCAAGTTCATTTTCCAGCACCCATGTCAGGTGGGTACAGGTGCAGAGGATCTGACACCCACTTCTGGAAAGCTTAGACATCCACACATTCGTGGCAGGCACTCACACAGACACAAAAACATGGATTAAAAATAAATAAAAGAAAATTAACCTGGGCTGTACAGGGAGCCTGTAACAAAAGAAGGAAAAAGGAAAAGAAAACTTCAGAAATTCTGAGCTTGGCCCAAGACCTTGCCTATACCAGACAACTGATCTTCCACTAAACTACAGCCACAATACACACACACACACACATACACACACATGCATATACATATATACATATACCTACACACACATATATATACATGCATACATATGCACACATACACACATATACATTCATATATATACACCTACACACATTATACATGTGTATACAAAATACACACAAACATGCATATACATACACACATGCACATACATACACACCCCTACACTGACACACATATACACACCTTTATACCTATACACACACACACATATGCACACACCTATACACTCATGCACACACACACACACACCACACCCACGTTTAATGGTTTTAAATGACCTTTGTCAAATGTGTGAGACATGGTGTACACGTGGAAGACAAAGGACAACTATCAGGAGCTGGTACTTGAGGCCTCTTCCATTTCTGCAGTTACACTCTAGGGTTGTGAGCACGGGAGCTTCTACCTTGCCACAGGAGTGCTAGGATTACAGATGTGCCATTGCATCTGGCTTTTGTGTGTTCAGGGTCTAGAGCTCAGGTTGGCAGGCTTCCCCCTCATGTGCTCTTTACTCACTGAGACATCTGCTCTACCCAATAACCATTAAACAGCTGAACACACAGGGCTAGAGGGATGGCTCAGGGATTAAGAGGGCATGTCACTCTTGCAGATCACCTGACTTAGTGTTACAGAGTCGACATGGGCATTGTCGGGGACAACTGCCTATAACACATCGAGGGAACCCCAAGACCTCCTCTGGTTTTGGAGGCACCTAAACTCATGTGCACATACCCCCAGAGTCCTAGAAAACTAAACACAAAGGTCTCTCAATCAGCTTTCAGACCAAGGTGTGCAATTCATATAATAACTAGTTGAAGTCACCGGAGAGAACAAACCCTCATTAGACTGGGAGGGAGGCAAAGCTGACGGCGAGACAGCAGGACATCTTCGGATCTTTTTCACTGTGGCAACAAGGTTTCTTTTGTTTGTTTTCCTTTCTTTGAAGACAGGGTTTCCCTGTGCAGCCATGGCTGTCCTAGAACTCACTCTGTAGACCAACCTGGCCTCAAACTCACAGAGATAGATCCACGTGCCTCCGCCTCCCAAGTGTTGGGACTAAAGGCGTGTGCCACCACCACCCCCAGCTAGGGATTCTTTCTTTGAAAAACAAGATCTATACCCTGGATACAAGCCTGTGTGGTGTGAACAAATGGGTGTGTATAGAGGACAACTTGTAAGAGTTTTGATGGACCCAGTCTGCCTCCATCTTAAGATCAGAAGCCATATTATTATACAGTCAAAATAAGTTCATTCCTGTTTTCTGTAATTGTACCAGGTCTTGACCCATTTTCTGATTTTTGACAGGTTCCACACCCTATACCTATTTCACCCTGATAATGTTCTGCCAAATAATACTGAAATGTTCAGCCAAGTTCTTACATAACCCTTGAAAATGTCCATATTCTTGCAGTTTTAGGGGCTAATATAAACCTTACCTTCTGTGTTCTGTTTTCTCAAACCCCGATTTAGGGAGATAGCCATGTCTGACAAAATAAAGCTTGCTTAATTTGGCCCCCCCCCCCAAATTGGCTACTGGTCTTTACTCTCTTACAGTGAGATTAACAGTTAAGCCTCTCCTTCCACCATGCAGGTCTCGGTAACTGACCTCAGATAGCCTGGCATGCTGAGCCATTTTGCTGGCGTCCGAGAGGTTTCTTACAGGCTCAATGATCATGGAGACGATCTGTGACTCGACAGGAAAAATCTCATTTCTTTTATTTCATTTTTTGAGGCAGAGTTTCATCAGGTAGCCCCTGCTAGCCTGGAATTTGCTATGCAGACCAGGCTGGCCTCGAACTCACACATATCCTGCTTCTGCCTGAGTGCTGAGATGAAATCGCTGTACTTGGCGATTTTAATTTCTTACAGAAGATAAATAATCCCACGAGGTCCTGTGAGACTAGTACTGAGGCTCTGTGGTGTGCAAATAGCGTATCACAACTGAGCACCAATGTGACTTCCACCACAACACCTGAGCTTCAGGTTCGTCAGGAAACTGGCAGTTTGGCGGGAATGGGAGGGGGACTAGCGAGCGGCGGAAGTGACGTACAGCTGCGCACTTGACCAGGACGGATGTGAGGAGTACTTGCGGAAGTATTCTTTTGATTGGTTATTTTCGTCAATACTGGCCAATCGGGAATTTGCCCTCAGTAAAGAAGGCCGCTGGGGCTTCCATTCCTTCTTGGGGCAGTGAGTTTTTTTCTTGATACCGGAAAAAAAAAAAGCGGGATTCGTGAATACTGATTGGCTAAAGCTAAGATGTGTCCTGGGCGCTGATTGGCTGGCTCTTCGCGGGAAGGAGTTTGTGGCGCCAGTGCAAAGTAGCTACAACGCCGCCACGCCGGAGCGGCAAACACTTCTGGAGTGTTCTTGTTTTCCGTGTCCGAGCTTCTTGGGTCTCTTTCTCGGGAAAACTGCGACCAGGATGTGGAATAGTAATGGCAGGCGTGCGGGAGAGGAGGCGGGGAGTCGCGCGAGGGTGTCAGGAGTGGTCGAGTCTCGCGCGGGAGGGCAGGGCCAGAGAGAGAGGCCCGAGGCCGGATCGGCGGCGTTTGAGGGGTGGGAGGGATTGCCGTGGTGGGGACAGCGTTTGCCAGGTGTAGAGTTGGGGAGCGCAGCGCAGACTCTAACTACTGTCGTTCACCACCAGGCGGATTCGAAAGCTTCAGCAGCTCCACCTATGGCGGAGCGGGCGGCTACACGCAGTCCCCCGGTGGCTTCGGGTCGCCCACACCGTCGCAGGCGGAGAAGAAATCAGTACGTAGACTGACCGCTCTGTTCCCATTTGTGTCCTCCTGGTCCGAAGTTTCCTGATAGCTGGGAAACATCCAGTCTGTATGGTTCTGATGTTTGAAATTGACAATAAACATTTCTGAGGTTCCAAATAGGACGTTTTGTTCCATAATGTATCAGGATGTGGTCTTTTGTTTACATTAGTACATCTGCTAAGGCAGAAATAATGTTGAGTTGAAGGTTTATCTTTTGTGATGTTTCCTTTGTTTTGTTTTTGAGACAAGTTTTTACTATCCACTTGCCTGGAACTTGATATGTGTAGATCATGAATTTGTGGTGACTCTACTGCCTGCCTGTCTCCTGAGTGCTGGGATTACATTGATGACTACACAGAAAAACCTTGTCTTAAAAAACAAAACAAACAAGTTATATTGCTGGTAGACTGCTTGAGAGGTGATTTGAGTGTCTTCTAGATGCTCTTCTGCCCACTCCATCCAACACTTGGTCTTCCTTTAAGATGCCCAAAAGTGACTAGCTTGGCTAAACTCTTCAACACGTTTTTTACAGAGACTGCTATCTGGTTGCCAGGATATCTCCTAGAAGAAGCTATACTTCTAACTTCTTCCATTTTATCAAGAAACTCAGAGCGTCTCCTAAGTCCTTTCTCTGCTTGTCATTTCTCAAGCCTTTTCACAAACCCCTGTTGTCTCAGTGGTGTCCTGGACACTATGTGCTGCTATATCTGGGATGTATTCTTTCTACCCCCACCTCTCTGAGACAGGGTTTTTTTTGTGTGTGTGTGTGTGTGTATCCCTGGCTATTCTGTCTGTAGACCAGGCTGGCCTTGAACTCAGAGGTCCATCTGCCTCTACCTCCTGGGTACTGAGATTAAACCTATGAGCCACCACTGCCTAGCCCTGGGATGTGCTCTTAAAGGCAGGCTATCCTATGTTGTCCTGACTCCGCCCTGACCTTTTCTTTGTGAACCCACAGAATGATACAAACATCTATTCATCTGGAGGTCTAGCATCAGATTGGTGTGGACTTGAATTCAAAAGTGTGGCATTTGCTGTGTACAGTAGCACACACTCTGAATCCTAACACAGGGAGAGACAAATAAATTAAATATTAACTTTTTGGCTTTGTTTTCTATCTTTTTGAAGCAAGGAGAACTTGGTTTTGAAATTTCAGGATTGTGGTATATTCAAAGTGCTTGTAACAAAGATACATTAAATGAATGATTGTTATTGTCTTGGGTTGACTTTATGCACGCTTTTTCTTTTCAGAGAGTCCGAGCCCAGCACATTGTGCCCTGTACAATATCTCAGCTGCTTTCTGCTACTCTGACTGATGAAGTGTTCAAAATTGGAGATGTTGAGATCTCACAGGTATGTAAGGTTTTGTGGAAGAACCATTTAGGGATAGGAAATAAGGGGTTAGAATGATGCCTGTGCAAGCCTGAGGACCAGATAGCAGATCCCTATCCGTGTACAAAGCCAGGCTTGATCACTCTGGTTCCTGTCACCACAAAACTGGGGTCAGAGACAGGAGGATCCTTGGGACTTGCTGGCTCCAGGTTCAGTGAGAGACTCTGTCTCAAGGGAATAAACCAATAATAGTGTTAAACCTAGACAGCCAGTGTCCTCCAGCCTCTGCAAGGGCGTTGCACATCTGTGTTACTCAAGCATTCAGCCAAAGAAAAGGGAGTAAGACTTGCTTAATTGAAAAGTATATAGCCAGTAACTGTTGGTGAAAGTGCTTGGGCCTTTTGCACAAGCCTGCTGACCTGAGTCAAGTCTCCACAGTCCACATTGAAAAGTGTGCTAGCTCCCTAACACATCTTCTGCCCTCTGGGTCATGGCACACATACACACAATGGTAATAGAGCTTTTTTTTTTAACATTTTAAAATTTCTTTTAAAAGAATTACTTATTTATTTTATGTATATGAGTACACTGTAGCTGTCTTCAGACACACCAGAAGAGAGCATTAGATTCCATTACAGATGGTTTTGAGCCACCATGTGGTTGCTGGGAATTGAACTCAGAACTTCTGGAAGAGCAGTCAGTGCTCTTAACCTCTGAGCCATCTCTCCAGCCCTAGAACTATTTTTCTGAAAAGTATTTTTTAAAGCTGGGCAGTGGTGGCACATACCTTTAATCCTACCACTGGGGAGGCAGAGGCAAGCAGACCTCTGAGTTCAAGGCCAGCCTGATCTACATAGTTCCAGGACAGCCAGGCTTGTACCTGTGAAACCCTGTCTCCAAACAAACCAACAAACAAAAGATATGTTTTTTAAGAAGTTCATGAAGGTATTTCCCTTGGAGCCTCTCTTACTTGCAGGAGTTGTTTCTCAGTTTTCCTTAATGACCATGTTCTCTTCTGACAAATAAAAATAGGTTAGTTTTGGAACAGGCATGGCAGCTCATACTTATACTCTTGGCACTCAGGAGGCAGGAAGTTTGTCATGAGTATGAGGCCAGTCAGGCCCATAAAACAAGTAAGACTATCTCAAAATCTGTTTTGTAAATTGTTTGTGTATGTATATATGTGCATCTTGCTTTGATTTCCAGGGAAATCACACTGTTTATTTTGTTTCTCTGTTCTAGGTCACTGTTGTGGGGATAATCAGACACGCCGAGAAGGCTCCGACTAACGTTGTGTACAAAGTAGACGATATGACGGCTGCACCCATGGATGTGCGCCAGTGGGTGGACACGGATGTGAGTGTCTTCTCTTGGATGTCCAGGTCTTTCGGTTTTAGCTTGTTAAAGGTTTTTCTGGTATAAAAATTCATAATCAAGATACCAAAGATAAAAAACCATAAATCGAGAACTTAATTGACCACATAAAAATTTTAACACATGCCAGGTGGTGATGGCGTACGTCTTTAATCCCAGCACTTGGGAGGCAGAGGCAGGTGGATTTCTGAGTTCAAGGCCAGCCTGGTCTACAGAGTGAGTTCCAGGACAGCCAGGACTACAGAGAGAAACCCTGTCTCAAAAACAAAACAAAACAAAACAAAACAAAAAAATTTTAACACCTAAAATATTGTGTAAGAGAGTAAAAAGTAAATTGTGAAAGAAAGTTTTTTTCTTGGTCACTACTGTCCCCAGTACCTAGAATGGTGCCTATCACACAGTGAGTCTTGAATAAATACTGTTTATGTGAATGGGAGGCATACTCGGACATATTCAATCACTTTAATAAAAAGCTCTGCAAAGTAAAAACAAGTAGCTTCACCTTAGAGAAATGGACAAAGAAGCACAAACAGGTTACTTATAAAATACCAGGTGAAAATGGTAGCAGTGATACAGGTTAGACCTAGTAAGCATTGCACCTGAGTTTCTAAGTTGTATGAGTAGCACTTAGCCCACTGCTTGTGATATCTGGAAGACAATCATGTGTTTTCCCAAAGTTCACCATGTACTGAAATCATCAGTTAAAAACATTGACCTCTCTGGGCTTGATGATGGATGCCTTTAATCCTAGCTCTCAGAAAGCAGAGGCAGGTAGATCTCTGGATTCAATGCCAGGCTCCTCTACAGAGAGAGTTCCAGCACTACCAGGACTACACACACACCTCTCTCTCAAAAAAGAGAAAGACGTACAAATTTACATTAAGGAAACAATTAAAGATATATACCAAGATTTAGTTTAAGGGTATTGACCAGGCAGGCTGGAGGAATGACTCAGCAGTTAAGAACATTGGTTGCTCTTCCAGAGGACCTAAGATCAATTCCCAATATCCACGTGGCAGCTTACAGCTGTCTGTAACCAGTTCTAGTGGATTTGACATCCTCTGCTGGCCTCTGTCAACACCAGGAACACAGTTGGACACAGGCATACTCTTATACCCATAACATATAAAATTTATGGGCAAAGAAGGATTGACCAGGGGCTAATAGATGTCAGCTGGTGATTAATGCCAGTCTGTGTGATAGGAGGAGGCCGACGTCGACATGTCCTGACCTCCGTTCACTTACCAAGGACGCACACAAAATGTAGGAGGGAAATGATTAGATACTGTTGACTAGCCTTCTGTTCTTGGATCATGTCTATTTTATTGGCAATCAGGAAGCTAAATCAGAAGGATTTTGCTGTAAGTTCTAGACCATTTAATTCTAGAACTTACATAGTCTCAAGACACCTGGACTGCATTTGGAAGATCCTTTGTCTTTTACACACACACACACACACACACACACACACTTTCTCATACCTTTAAAGGGGGTGAAGGGGCAAAAAACCAAACAGTAACAAAATAACAGGCAGTTCTATCTCTGTCACCAAATAAGTTGTGTGTGACACTATAGGCCTGTAATCCAGTACTTGGTAGATAGAAACAGGAAGAAGTTCACAGTCATCCTTGGCTATGTATTAAGTTTGAAGATAAGCCTGTGTTACAGGAGACCCTATCAAAAAATTAAAAGTAAATAAAAAACAGTGATGTGTTTATATTTCATCTGTTAGGATGCCGGTGGTGAGAACACTGTGGTTCCTCCAGAAACATACGTGAAAGTTGCTGGCCACCTCAGGTCTTTTCAGGTAAAGTCCATTAATGTGATAGCCTCAGAGCTGGGGAGATGACAGAGGTGAAGACTCGAGTTTGAATCCTTAAAACCAAAGTTAAGGCCAGGTTCACCAGACTTGTTAGTGCATACTTGTAACCTCAGCACTCTGGAGAGAAAGGAGGTAGAGATAGCCTCTTGAAGCTCACAGGGAAGCTGGCTTGACACACACATTGATGAACAAAAAGAGAACCTGTCTCGTGCCAGGTGGTGGTTGTTGTGCACCCTCTTAATCCAAGCAGGAGAGAGTCAGAGGCAGGCAGATATTCTGTAAGTTCAAGGCCAGCCTAGTCTATAGAGTGAATTATAGGATAGAGCAAATTGCAGGACTGCTGGTCTATACAAATTCTGTCTGGAAAAAAACAAAAAGAAAAAAACTGACAAAATTTTCTGAATTTACATCTTCATTAGAAGAATGCGTAGTTATCCTTAATAATCAAATCTGCATATTAAATGAGAAGATATTTTGTTCTCTTCATTGAGAGGAAGTATCTAGGTTCTATCTTAAAATAGACATTAGAGCCATGGGTGGTGGTACATAGGCATTTTTCTTTATCCTCAAGAGGCAGAGACAGATAAATTTCTGAGTTTGAGTCCACCCTACTCTACACAGTGAGTTCCAAACGACCAGGGCTACATAGTGAGACCCTGTTTCAAAAGGGGGATCAGTTCTAGGCCAGCCTGGTATACATGGTATGCTCCAGGACAGTCAAGACTACATTGTGAAACCTTGCCTCAAAGAAGAAAAAAATTAAGTAGAGTGAAGAGATTGCCCACTGGGTAACTAACACGTGCCATGCAAGTGTAGGGACCTGAATTACTGAATTCAAATCTTCAGGAGCTGTATAAACGCCAGGTGGCTCTCCAGAACCTCTGTAACAAACCATCAAGGGGTTGGGAGGCAAACAGGAGAATCTCTAAAAGCTTTGGAGCTACCTGGTTGGGTGTGTATAGTAGAAAGACAACCTGCTTTGAGGTGGGAAGTGAGAACCAACACCAAGTCGATCCTGTTGACTTCCCTCGCAGACCGTGGTACATGTGCCCACATTCACATATACATTTTTAAGTCTAACAGGCATTTTCCCCATAGTGAGAAATAAAACCAAGGAAAAGCCAGTGTTTTGCCCAGAAAGTTACTTGAATATGTTTGTCTTCCTTCTGCTTTCCTCTTATAACAGAACAAAAAGAGCTTAGTGGCCTTTAAGATCATTCCTCTGGAAGACATGAATGAGTTCACCGCACACATTCTGGAAGTGGTCAATTCACACATGATGCTCAGCAAAGCCAACAACCAGGTGAGGAGCTGCAGTCAACTCCCTTTTCTCAGAAGCCTGTGTGTGGTGTGAGGGATCCCCTGCAGGTAGGGTTACACGCAGTGTGTGCCACCTGTGTCCAACTTGTACATCATAAAAGCATCTCAACAACGGACATTTAGTGGATGTTTGACTGCTGTGTTTTCACACTGCTTTAAACCTCATAGGATATGTGCGTTCTTCTATCATTCAGAATAGTAGAGACAGCGTGTGTAGAGTATATTGTTGATCAGGCACTGTGCAGAGAGGAAGAGTTCTGAGCCGGTGCAGTGTGAATAAGTGGGAAACCAGAGAATATGGCATGAAGCCTGGAGGGGACATGTTTGGGAGGAGTGGTCAGCATTGTGTGCTGCTAAGAAGTCCGAGGTTGTGAAGACCAAAAGACTTGAGCAGCCAGTGACTTAAGAAGTCATTGATGGCTTTGGCAGAACTCACTTCAGAGGAGTGTTTGAGATAATCCAGATAGTGGTAGGCAGAGAAAGGAATGACCTAAAGAGAGTGGAGCGTCTGTGCCTCCTCTCTTGTGTTGTGAATTGAACTCTTAGCCTTATCCGTAGTAAGTAGGCCCTCTGCCAGCTATCTGTGCCCGCAGGCAAATCTGTGCCCTTTTCTTTCCCAACATGGTTTCATGATAATGAATGCTTGCTTGACAGAGTCCCATGGAAACCATTATAGCTGTCAAGTGAAGTCACAGTGCCACAGCATCCTTTTCCGGGGACAGGGAATGTATGCTTCAGGAGGTTACTAATATTTCATTGTTATAGCTTTCCTATATGAATAGTTACTAGGAAAACTGGTTAAATTGTTTCCTGCTGTTTATTAGTAAGTTATTTGAAGTAGGGTTGATGTGATGGCTTTTCTAATGTTCTGATCTTGTTCTTAATTCAGGCCCCTGCAGGGAGACCGTCTATCAGCAACCCAGGAATGGGTGAACCGGTAAACTTCAGTGGGAATAACTTCATGCCAGCAAATGGCCTCACTGTGGTCCAAAACCAGGTAAGCTGCCTATTTACCCATGCAAAGCACAACCAATTCAATATTTTGTTTCTTTCCAGATAATGTAAGGTTATCCTGTAACCTGCTTCACACCAACACCCCCCTCCCTTTAACTTGTGTGTGCTTGCCTGCTTGTACAGATGTATGTGTGTATGTCCACGATGCCTGATGGCAGTGGAGGATAGAGAGGGTGGAAGTCCAGGCTCTCTGCAAGTGCTCCTCCTCAGCCGTCCTTCCAGCTCCTCTCTGCTTATGAAGTGACTCGGGTTTACATAAGGAGTGATCCAGAGCAGTCGCTAAAGTCTTTTTAATTTGAACTGTCAGGTGCTGAATTTGATCAAGGCTTGCCCAAGACCTGAAGGATTGAACTTTCAGGATCTCAGGAGCCAGCTCCAGCATATGCCTATAGCCTCAATCAAGTAAGTCTTCTTGTCCGTGGCCTAGAGGTCCAGGCTTGTACCCTTGTATCTGTCCACAGCCTTCTGATAGTTAGAAGAGAGTGTAAGAGGTAAAGCTGGATCTGGGTTTGCTGGTTCTCACCTGTAATCTCAGGAGGATCAGGAGTTGAGAGCCAAGCTGGTCTGCGGAAGAGCCACACGAGGAAAGTTGTCAGCTGCAGCCCGTTGAGGGAGAAGTTGAGCAGCTATGAAGAACATTTAAAAGCACTCCCAGGTGGCACTGTTGCGCCATTTGCTGATTTGTTCGGGGGCTGGAGGCATCGGGTGGCCCTTCCTACTCCTTTGATGTGACTCTATTTTAGACAGCTGGCTGCTGATTGCATTGCAGTGAACGGAGATGAAATATACTGAGACGAGTAATATATGACTCATGATACTTGAGTTCAAGGCCAGCCTGGTTTACATAGCAAGTTCCAGGACAGCTCTGACTACGTAACGGGGAGGCCTTGTCTCAAACAAGCCCATGTAATAATTGTAGGCCACGATAGAAAACAAATGCCCAGGCCAGTTTCCCATTCTGTGCTATAAGGTGGTGGTAGGTAATGCCCGTCTCACAGTCCCTGTGGTGATGAGGTAGATTCCCTGTGAATTCTGGCTGTCACTAAACATCTTCCTGTCCCTGAGGACCTAAGGCTTTGGAGGGGTCACACACTTTCTGAATTACCTTTCTTTTTCTGCTACTCTACTGCCCATAGGCAAAGCCAAAGGCATTTCAGTATGTGATTCTGGGGCCTGAATCCAGGAGAGAGACTTAAGACCCCTGTGTACATCTCATGTGTAAGCTGACTGCAGCTGCGGGTTCTTGTGTCAACTTACGTTGGCATTTTAAGCGAAGCCCAATTTTATTTTGAAAAAAAAAATTAAGATTTATTTATTTATGTATATGAGTACACTGTAGCTGTCTTCAGACACACCAGAAGAGGACATTGGATTCCATTACAGATGGTTTTGAGCCACCATCTGGCTGCTGGGAATTGAACTCTGGACCTCTGGAAGAGCAGTCAGTGCTCTTAACCACTGAGCCATCTCTCCAGCCCTTATTTTGAAATTTGAGGTCGGCCGGGCAGTGGTGGCGCACGCCTTTAATCCCAGCACTTGGGAGGCAGAGGCAGGTGGATCTCTGAGTTCGAGGCCAGCCTGGTCTACAGAGTGAGTTCCAGGACAGCCAGGACTACACAGAGAAACCCTGTCTCAAAAAAACCAAAAAAAAAAAAAAACCAAAAAAAAGAAAGAAATTTGAGGTCAAGATCCAAGGCAGCCCTGGTAGCCCTGGTCTCCATGGATAATCTCAGTGCTTAGGTTGTATTGTCATTTCTCTGCAAGAGACTCCCATAAACAAAGTGACTAAATAATTCATAGCTAAGATAAGAATAACAAAAAGAAGTGATGTTTGCTTACTTGGCTATGTTCAAGAGGCACTGGTTTTAATGTGGGGATTCCCCCTTTTTTTCCTTGCAGGCAAGCAGTGGATTTTCTGTGCAATGAGGGCCACATTTATTCTACTGTGGATGACGATCACTTTAAATCTACAGATGCGGAGTAACTGGACTGCCTTGGGTACCTGAAATATTTCCACCTGGACCTGTTTTCATCTGTTGTCCCCAACACTGAAGTTTTTGGCCAGAGGCTTCTAGGACAGAAGTTTCTTGTAGAAGGTCTCAGTTGAAGTCCTTTTGGAACTTATTGCTCTCTGTTTTGTTGCTTGTTGTTTAGAGGTTCAAAAGGAAATAGACAGTTGAGAAGGAAGTAAACCCGGGCAAGATTTCTTGAAAGAAATTCCGATAAGCTAGTCAGGACTCTAGGATGGATGATCGGAGTTGAAAGAGGAACACCACCAAGAGAGCAAAGCAGCACTGCCGCGCGCGTGGGTGCTTCTGTTCTTGAAAGGCTTCCTGTTAAGAATGAACAACACAAGGGCCAAAGAAGAACCTAAAACCTTCTGCCAATTTGTGTCATACTCTGAGTCTGTGGTGTTACTTTCAAAATTGCACTTTCCTTCCCCTTGTCTTGCCTGCAGCTGAAAGTAGGTTTAAGTGAGCATGAGGTTCTGACATGGAGGCCTCATGGGGCAGAGAGGAAGAAATGTTACTGCATGGTTTGTAATATAAATGTTCATATGTTTGATAAAACTGTTCGATTGTAGTAGCTTCTGAGATGTTGGTTTTCTTTTTAGCTTTTACTTACTGTGTGAGTATGGAAGTCAGAGGACAACTTAGAGGAGTCTGCTTTCTCTTTGTACAGTGTAGAGTCATCTTCTATCATGTGTATTCCAGGGATTCAACTCTCGTCATCAGGCTTATCAGGGGTTTGTTGTAGTTGTGTATAGCATGTGCCATTGCCACCAAAGATTGTGAATAGACCTTGGGCTGGGGTTACAGCTCACAGTAGTGAAGCACTTGCCTGCTATCTACAAGGTTGGTTGGCCCCTGGCAGCCTGACGTAGGCCTTTAATGTTGGTCCTGACTGAGTTTGCAGCTGAGTTGGCTGTCTGCCGAGAGACTTCACAAAGACTGTTCTTGAAGGAGGGGAAATATGCTCTCAGATGTCAAAGACAGCTGTCTTGAATGGAAACGAATTTGGGAGCAGAGTTCACGATGTGGAACATGCAAATACGAGCTGCCTGCTTCTAAGTGAGCTCTCGCCCTGATTGCTGGTGTAAGCATCTGGCTGTTTGCTAGACAGAGAAGTTCCCTCTGAGGAGCCACACCTATAGGTAAGTTCAGCTAAACAGTTATGTTATTAGTTATGGATCTATTCTTAGACAACGGAAATAGCTGAGAGAAAACACAAAACCTGTTCCAGTGTGGGTTGTATGACAGGGTACTTTCACAGGTTCCCGGGTTCCTCTAGTTACCAGGTAAGCAAAGTTGTGGTTTTGTGCGGAAGTCTTTCCATAAAATTCAAATCACAGCTTAGGCAGAAGCAGGTAGATCTCAGTTCTGAGGCCAGTATGGTCTACATACCAGGTTCTTGGCAACCAGGATTACATAGTAAGACCTTGTCCAAAAAGAGGGGATAGGGAGACCTGGAGAGATGGCTCAGGGATTAAGAGCTCCTGCTGCTCTTCCAGGGGGCCTGATTTCAGTTCCAAGCACCCATGTCATGCAGCTCACAACTGTAACTCCAGTTCTAGAGGTTCCAATGCCTCTGGCCTAACACCTGCATTTGCTTGAACACACAAGTTGTTAAATGCCTTTATTGGATGCCAAACTGTTGGTTAGGTACTAGCTATAGGAGAGATTAGCATCAGGGGCTTGTAGTGGACTGCCCTGGTCATTTGATGCCTCTCAGTTGTCATGTGATTGGTGAGCACTGTGGGAGTCTGAGGTTGAGCACAGCCAGGAACATGTGCACCCAAGTGCCTGGAACCTCTGCCCTGCACAGGTGAAAGAGCTTATGTGTGAGCCTGTTGGAACACTAATATGACCCATGCTCTTAGAAACTACCCAGTGTCACCTGATTATGTGTTTAGTTCTCAGGAAGTTAAGACTGCGGGTGGGAAATGAAGCATCATGAAAAATAACATTTTACAAAGGCCAGAGTAAGAATTAGCATTTATGGCCGGGCGGTGGTGTCGCACGCCTTTAATCCCAGCACTTGGGAGGCAGAGGCAGTCGGATTTCTGAGTTCGAGGCCAGCCTGGTCTACAGAGTGAGTTCCAGGACAGCCAGGACTACACAGAGAAACCCTGTCTCGAAAAACCAAAAAAAAAAAAAAAAAAAAAAGAATTAGCATTTAGTGTGGATTACTGGGTTTGTTGTTTTGTTTCAATGCAGTTGGTTTCATAAACCTAAAATTAAAAAGATAATGTAGCTGAGAGAAACTTCATGTTGGTAAAATGTTTAAACACATACCCTATTTCGTTTATCAATTTCTACAGAAGTTTAGACCCAGAAATCCTATTTTATAGGAAATAGGAGCCCTCTTCTGCCTTCCTTTTGAGTCTTATTCAACTGTGTGCCAATATTGAACGTATGTGTGAAAACCAGAGGCACCTTGACTACTGATCCACCCTCTGGCAGTTCAGAGCCAGGAAGGAACTTTGTCAAGATCTTGCTTACTGCTTCTCTGTAGGATCTGTCCCTGGATCTTTCAGTACAATGAACACTGGCTTCTGGGGAGAGGTGGGTAGAAACTGGTGGATGAGGTCCCCAAAGTTGGGACTGGCCAACAGCCTATAGCAATCACCTGGAGAACTCTATTCCAAGGAATAAAGATCAGGGGGCCTGCAAGGACGGGTCCACGCAGCCCAGAGAGGAGCAGACACAGGAGCACACACAGGTGCAGTGTCTAGAATCTGACTCAAATTGGACTCAACCTCACAGCAGCTGTAAACTCAGTATCTTTTCATCTGTTCCCTGTTTTCTTTGCCGGCCCAGGGCTATATTCTGTGGCTTCACTAGTTTGTAGTTTTACATTTCCCAGGATATACACACCTAGACCAACCTTGGAAGTTGCATGGGCAAAGTTTGTATTTTTCCTATTTCCAGCTCTGAACACAGATTTAAGCCACCCTGTGAAGAGTCCAGGAAACAAGTGGGGGGTTTTGTTTTTAACACAGTGATTTCCACAATGACAGGCTTGGAAACCACAGACTGGAGGGAGACACAGCTGTGTGACCTTGATTAACAGTGATACTAACAGTGAGTGCCAGGTACAGGTACTAAATGCCTTGTAAATAGCTCAGTTGATCCTTGAATCCTTAAATAATGTTTATTTAGATGTCATGAAACTAAAGCCTAAAGTGAAGTAAATTGCTGAAATCAGCAGCTGGTCCGTGGTGTGCTGGGAACCTAAATCCAGACTGTCTGTTGCCTTTGGAGCCCTCCTTAACCACTACCTCCTGGACCATCAGTCACTAAGCCTGTTGCCCAATCTAAAAATCAGGCAGCAGTTTCTCTATGAGAGCTCAAGGTTTGGGTGTAGTTTCTAAAGGGCCTGGTGCATAGACGACAAGAAATGTCACTCATACAGAAGTGTGTGTCATTTTTATTCTGAGGCTTTAGCATGAGATGATCTTGGGTAGTCAGTCACCTAACAGCTTTCTTTAACAGTTTCAGAGCACCACCCAAGGCCTACCAGATTTCCACAACTTTGGGTCTTCCCAGTTTCTTGCTTTTGTTTAATAAATAAATATATAGATTAGGCTGACCTGGAATTCATAGATAGCCACCTGCTTCTGCCTCCAGAGATTAAAGGTATGCACCACCAAACCCAGCTTTAAATGTTTTAATTGTCTAATTGTGGGGTGTTGTAGAGACTAGGTTGTGCACATGAACGGAGTCCTCACAATCCAGAAGCAGGTGTAATAGGCAGTTGTGAACCGCCTGATGTAGGTGTTGAGAACTGAGCTTTGGTCCTCTGTAAGAGCAGCCAAGTGCTCTTAACCACTGAGCCATCTCTCCAGCCCCTCCACCTTTGTAAATCAGCTCTCTTAGTCCCACTAACGGATGTGGAGAGCTAATGTCCCACCTAGGATTTTACTCTTGGACCCAAATGCCCACATTTAGTCACACAAGCCCATTTACTCGGCACCGATCATGAGCTGGCTTCTACCAACGTGAGAATACTGTCCATTCCCAGGCACAGAGCCTGGACTGCAGACATGCAGCGCAAAGGAGGTGGCCTACTGGGTGGCACAATGAGAACCGAGTCTGTTTACTGAGTGGCAGGCAACACTGAAGCTGGTGGCCTTTGATTCTTCTCTGTGCCTAGCAGTGGGACAACTGATGGGCATAGGAAGGGCCAGAACCTGACTGGTTTCTCGACACCAAAGCTCTAAGGCTGAGGGTGTCACATGCAACCTTCTAGGACCAAACCAACCTCGAACCCAAAGAGGCAGGAATAGCATCAGTCCCATCAGAGTCTAAGTCCCTTGAGACTTTACCCTAGGTCCTCCAACAAGAGATAGCTGGTACCCTAATCCCCAATCCCCTGTGCAGCGGAGGCTGGAAGTGTGGCTTCCCCAGCACCTAGATGACTTTTTCTAAAAGTACTCAAATTTCTTCATAGTCGTGGTCATCCACATCTGAGTCAGGCAGGAGATGTGACTCAGTGGTAGAGGGCTTGCCGAGTGAGCTCGTGGATTTGGGTTTCATACTCAGCGCTGAGGAAGAAAAGAAAGTTCAGGTCATTCAGAATCTTTGTCTTTAGGCAAGTTCCTTTCCCCCTTTCAGTTTCATCCCCTGAACAGGGAAGGAATTGGCCTGACTGGCTCAGAACTACAGTTCACTTTCCTTGAACACTGTGGCCATTTTACTGTCCTGTTTGTCCAGAGGACATCGTGTTTAGGACTGGACTCATTGCATCACTGGGGTCTGGAGTCTACAGTGAAAGACTAGAGACTTTTCCACCTGACTCACTCCATATAAGCTTGGCTCTCAAACTAGGACCACAGTAGGGTTCCCTGGGCAGAGCCATCAGAGATGGGAGATGGCTTTGATGGGCCAAACTCACCTAGGTTCTGTGTTTGGGGATTGGACTTGCCGTCTTTCTTGTGGACAGAAATCTTGCTGTACACATTTGATCTGTTCTTGGGAAGGGATTCCAAGGTCTTCGCCTTGAGTTCAGGCTGTGGGCAGGATTGCTGTGGTTCTCCAGCTTGAGGCTGAGCAAGATAAAAACAAACAAACTAGAAAGCAGTAAAGGTACAAGAATCAGGTGCTGAGCCCTCGAGATGGAGTTGCCCTACAGTGACAGCTTGCTGTGTGCTTTTCTGGGTCAGGCTTCTCGTGGACAGAGTCCCTCGTGAGACTGAAACTACTCAAGAACTCGTTTTATCCAATGCTACGTGACTATATGATAATGAATGAACAGGAAGTAACTAAAGGGCTTCTGGGTGCAGTCCTAGCATGTCAGCCACTAAGATGGATGCTCAAAGAGGTAGCCTAGGCCAGGATCCCCACTCTCCCATCTTTGATTCCCCTTGGTTCATCCAGCAGTGCCCACCAGCCTTGGAGAAGTGGAATTTCTGTTCTCCTCCCCTCCTCTCATATCCTGCCTGGCTCTCTTTTTTAGGAAGAGAGACAGGGAGTAGAAAATGGCCGTGGACACAGCAGAGGTGACAAAGTAAATAGGGCCAGCTCTGCCCAGGAGTCAGGGCCTCACCTCTTCCTGAGCCTGAAGGAGGAATAAAAGTCCTAGCTGTGGGTCT